GCCAAAAAATGAACAACCCTAACACCTGAATTGCATAGAAGACACCTTTCATTTCCCAGAGTCTGAAAGGGGGTACTGTTTAGATATAAAAGATCACCTCTGATCTTGAAAAGCCATTGAAGTTCACCCAAAGACATGCCTTGCAAATTATCTGTAATTTACCTGAGCTGCTACCTAACTATAACTAATATAAGAAATGTGAAGTAGACGAGACTTTTTCCTTGAGTGTAGAAACGGATTTTAATTTTAAATAAACAAGTATTTCCTTAAAAATAGAGGGCCAATTGTTTACTTTATGTGGCGAGTAGAGTTCAGATGACAGCTCATTAGAGGGGTCATTCCACACCCTAAACCAGAGAACACCACGATTAATGATTTCAAGGGCAGCTATTTTTGGCAAGCGATAATCTGGGAGTTTCATTATTTTTAAAGTAAAGATTTGATTTTTTTTTTTTAATCAACGTTTACTGCATGGACACGGCTCTCATTACTATAAGCTTAAGGTCCTGGGTTCAAATCCACCATCCCTGTGTTCAAACCCAACATACAGATTTTTTTTCAAAAACACCAAAACCCCAAGGATTGATATGTCCTCTGCTGTTGTAAACTTTTGTTAAATAAATAAAAAAATTTTTTTTACAATCCAGACATTTCAAAGAGGATTTTTTTTAGCTAGCATTGAATTTATTTTTAATGGAAACTGATTAAGTTAATAGTTGTTCATTTTAATTCACATTCATGTTGGTTTAATGAAATATATAGTCTGCTGTAAAATAACGCTAAAATATTGTTTATAAGTTGAGTCATTATCAGTTTTTTTTATCAATTTTTATCATTTAAGTTATACAGTTGTTATAGTTATTTAGTATACAAATATTTTAGTTAAATTTAAGAAGTTGGGAATATCAGTCGATGGTTGTTGGCTGACTTCGTATCCTGGCCGACGTTTCAATTTAATTTCAAATCATTTTCAAGGCTGCCTGTACCTATCTAGTATGTTATTACATTTTTAATTTTTAGAGAATTACAAATATTTTTATACATACAGGCAAAAACCCTAACTCACCGCTTGATATCTAGATGCCCTCTTAGTACATGTTTTATTTTTATTACTGTAGACCAGCATATATTTCACTTTATTTTTCTACTCCATTGGTTGCTACGTACAATATTTTTAGTTCTTTTATGTGTTAAAAACGATTGGAAAAAGCTTTTTTTTATTCAAAATTATTCTAGTTATAAGCAAATCATGGCTTTATGTAGAACCACATTTTACTACATTGATGATTGTACCATACACAGGTGTGATTCAGGGTTAATACCAACTTTTATTATTTTTTATCAAGTTATTCTTAATTATAAATATACTCAATTAATTAAAGGTTTGAATCCTGCCTGTGAAGCAAATTTTTCATTTTGAAAAAATTGTGTATATTTTGTTGAGTATATGTACAACTAAGAATAACTTGATAAAAAAAAAACTTGTAATTTAGTTTCATTATTTGGAATTTTTGTGTTGCTTCTGAGAAAAAATTTTGATCAGATTAAAACAAAAAAAGAAAGTGAAATTTCAAAACAATTCAGTATTGTACTCATTAGGATAGGCAGACCAAAATAATCAGAAATGACAAAATTACAGGTTCATCACAACTATAACTTCTGAAATGTTTTATTTTTCAGCTTTATTTGGTTTGTTTTTCTCTAAAATCCGAAATTGCTTTTTATTATCAAATATCTTTAACTTATATTTAAAAAAAGTAGTAAGTATTTGAGGTGTTTTGTTTATATGTCACATTCGGCCATTTTGCTTTTATTAATTATTTATTTAAAATGTTTTTCAACATCTCTTATTAGTGCATGTTAATTAAATAATTCTGAGATTCATTGCTTTTAAAATGCATACTTTTCAAAAATTTCGTATTTAAATCTGCCGCATTTTGATTTAATGAAACAACAAATAATGCTATATTTTTATGATTTCTTGATGGGATATTTATCCTGCAATCTGGATATTAATCGAAGTCGTAACTCCCAGTAGTTGTATTATCTGTTTTTCCTGTGTCTGTCCTGAATAAATTTTACTTCCAAAGATCCTTAAACGTGGTCCAACACTTCTTTTAATTTTGTTATTAAAATTTTCTTGTTTGCAGATTTTTTAAATTTATTTATTTTTTAAACCAAACTATTGGAAACTACTGTAAATTCAATTAGGTTTGTTTCCTACCTCAACACAAATCTTGTTGACTTGCATTTATCATTTTTTATATTTATTTTTTAATTAACTTACATTAATTTCGTATGTGTTGAAAATGTAGTCCAACACTTCATTTATACTGTTTAGATAAAATTCGCATCCATGACATAAAACAGAATCAGCCGATCTGACTTGATTTTATCACTCTATAAATAGAACGATTGTATATGAATTTATTCTCAAATTTTACATTTTTGTACATTATATTTTGTGTAACGGGTTCACCAAACCATTAAATATTCAAATCAATAATTTATTTGTAATTATAGTTAAAATATAACGATAATTGATAGGTGTAAAATATAATTAAAAACAAAATTTTTTGTTTCAACAAGAATTCGTCATCAACAGGTTGATCATCCCAGATAATTGTGGCTATAGAATGTACATGTAATGCAACTATACCTGTAAAGACGCATAAAATGCAGTGAAAATAGCCCTATCAGGTTGATAATACTGTTAACAAAAGTAAAACATCACATCCTCTCTACACAACTTTGCAAAATTTATTTAGACTTTTTTTAAAAGTATATTTAAAACAACAGTTAAAATCTGTACCTAATGAAATAATATAAAATACAGTTCTTGGTAATGTTTTATTTAAGTATTTTATACACTGATAGGCAAAAAATTCCACCCAATTGATTTTTTTTTCATTTTCTCAATAAAAGAAAATTCTTACCTTAATTTATCTCTCTTGTTTTTATCAATAAATATTTGTTTACGCTATGTTAATTGGGAATATCAATTAGAGGTAAACACACTTAATCCTTAATCCAAAACGAGGATAAAGGATTTTTCAGTGTTTACTTTTTAGGGAATTTAAAATATTTACTCAGTCTCATTTGAATTCTGAAGCAATAAACTGTTTAGTTTTCATCTTTGTTTTCTTTTACCGCGGTAGCCGAGTGGTTAGCATGAGAGACTCTCACACCGCGGTCGTGGGTTCGATTGCCACCGTCGCCTCTGGCCCTTTTTTCACGATAACCCCCCCCATTTGAACACACATATATAAGAATTCGTCACCATGGCTAATATGCATAGATCATAAGGCAAAAAAAATCTTTGTTTTCTTAATTTAAATTTTTAACCTTAAAAATGCCACTTAGTGCTGAAGATGTTGTGTGTGATGTGGCTCTTATTGATGATGGACGTTCCATCAGGTATGCAGCAATTGCCAACAGACAAGACAGCGAAACACCATTAGACGTTTTCGAGAAACTGGGTCTTACCATAGAAGGCTCGGTTCTGGACGCCACTGGAGTGTTTTTTGACTGAGAATTTTGCGAAACCAGTACATTACTTTTGTTCAGACGATTCATCTGCTCCAGGAAGTTCGAAGTGTCCAAATTTCTGAATGCACTGCTCGAAGAAGATTAAGTCAGTATGGACTGACGGCTTCATAAGAGGACCAGAATTAACCAAACCCACAGGGTTGGCTCACATTTGCTCCAGAACACAGTCTTTGGATAATTGGTCTATTGTACTTTTTACAAATGAGTGTTGATTTGCTCTATGATGTCCAGATGGGCTTGAAAGAGTGTGGAGAAGGCGAAATGAAAGGGGCGAAGCCATGATATTTTTACCCAAGCCAATATTTCGAGGTAGCTCAGTGATGGTGTGGGCAGGAATTTCAATGGAGGGTGTTTGACGGCCACTCACTATGTGTATGAAATTTTGGAACATAGCCTATCTTTGTTGAAATAAGCAACAACACTATTCTAATACATGATAATGCCCGTCCGCATGTCAAACCTTCAACAGCATAACATTAGGGTCTTACCCTGGCCAGCCTGATCTCCAGACTTGAACCCCATCGAACATTTATGGGTTAACCTCAAAAGAAATAAGGGCACGTCCATCACTTCCTGATACACTCCACAATCTTGAAAAGACTCTTTGCGAAGAATGAGCTAACCTCCAGCAAAGAGAATTTCCAGAATGGTATCAAGTATGCCAAGGAATCATTGAGATGTAATTAAGACAAGAGGAGGAAATACACGATTGAAATACACATTGAAATGTTAATTAAAAATCTAATTAAAGAAATTTTATCTGTTCGCTTTTTTTTTCATTTTTCATTTTCCTTAGCAATTTACATGTTTTTTTTACTTTTTTAGATAAAGACTCAATTATTAAACGTAAAAAAATGTGAAACTTTGATTAATATATAGAAATATTTACAAATCAAGTTATATTACAAGTGGGTGGAAATTTTTGTCTGTCAGTATATTGTGGAACCCCTTTGATTTAAGACCATGTGCTTTTCCACAAACCTTACAAAGCCTACTCTTTCCTTGGTGTTGTGGACTTAATTTGTGCTTTTTTTTTAAAATCCAGTGCTTGAGTTTTTCTTTTTAAAGATATATTTCCAAGTCCTGATTTAGGAGGGTTTTGTGTTGCACCTAGTTTGGTTCTGGTTCCATGGTTTAGAGGGCTACTTTGGGTAATTGGTCAGCCTGTTCCACTTCCTTCTATACCTTCATGTCCCCAAAACTTGTTAAATGATATCTTGTGTTTTCTTAGGGTCATTAAGCAATTATCCCAGACAAGAGTTTAGAGCTAAAAGCATATATATTTAGTGTTTTATAGCTGCCTGAATGTCTGAGAGTATGTAAACTGTACCTTTCATATTTTTCTTTGTTAACTCCTGTGTACAAAGTTGATTGCATGGACCTTAGCCTGATAATATTAAAATATATATATATAAAATAGAATTATAATGAAATGTTTATTTGTTTTTCAGTACTGGGCGCCTGCAAACTCAGAAGAGAATTTTTTCGTAAGTTTTAATATTTTATTTTATTTTTATACATTTCTATATTATTGTCTGTTGATTTGCATTCATTGACTTACAAAATTAAAATTGAAGGACTTCAGAACAATTTAAAAAAAAATCAGTGCGAGATTAGCCTTTGTTATTGTTTCACTTTTGTTTACAAGGAAGGAACCACAAAGAAAAGAGATATAGTCAAAATCCAAGATAAAAATGTACACTCGAGCGTTTTTGTAATTTTTTTTTCTTGTACTTATTTGCATTCTGATAAAAAAAAGAAAAAAAAAAGAAATGCGTTGTAGGACAGAAATAGTGCTCTTGTGAACCACGTTTTCATTGACACAGTTCAATTAATTGAATCGTACGAAATTGTCAACAAGGAGAGAATTACTTTTGTCCTTTTTAATTTAGTTAACTGTCTTCAAATCCTATCGCTGTCCCTTTTGATAGCACATCCAATAAATTCGGGTTGAAAAAATAAACGGAAAAATGAACTAGTTTCTACTCTTCTAATAATTCTACCATTATAAAATTTTATAAACAATATGAGAAATGATAAGAAATTAATAGCAGTTGTTTTAAAAATGAAAATATAACTATTATATTCTAGTCCAAAATAAATAAAATGGATCAATAAATAAACTATTTTTAAATGATTTAAAGTTTATTTATTTTTATATTAGTAAATTTAAAAAAAATTCTTACTATCGCCTCTGACCCTTTTTTATGATCCCCCCCCCCCCTTATGCAAATAAAATATAGTCTGGCGTGGCTAATATGCATAGTTCATAAGGCCTTTAAAAAGTAACTAATAAATAAATACATTAATTAGTTAATTAAAAATAGATAAAAGTTATTATTCCTCTTTAAATTAGCTTAAATCATAATTATTATTTTACAATGAAATGAGATGAGCAAAACAGAACTTAGTTTATGTAGAACTCTACGATTTTTCTTTGATATATTGAGTTGACAAGAAGATAATGACTTTTTATTTTTTTATTTTTTTGTATCTGGTATGGTTTTAACTATTTGAAGATGCATTGTCCATTGTTTGCAATTACTTTTTGTCATCTTTTAGATATCATGTCTATTCCTTTTGCTTAAAAATTTCCATCTTTTGAGTCCATGAACGTTTGAACATGTTCAAAATTTTCAAAGTTTTGGCCGTTTAAAAATATTGTAATGACGGAAATAAATAGTAATCATAAGGTGAAATGTCTGGAGAGAGTGGCGAGTGTGATAAAATTTCCCAATTCAAATTAGCTGGTAATTGTTTGGTCCACAACGGGTGTTGTCGTGGTGAAAGTTTACACCTTTTCTGTTTGTTAGTGCAGGCCATTTTTGTTTTATTTGAAGGTCTAAATGGATTAGCTGTTCACAGTACAGTTAACATTCACTATTAACCATTTGTCCTTGTGGTAAAAGATCAAAATGCAACGGGTCAGGCATGTCCCACCGAATGCACAGCATATTTTTTTTTTTGATTTGTTATTTTGGAAATAAGCTTTTATGCAGACGTTTTCATCACCTGTTACCAAGAAGAAATAGGTCGTAAGAAAGAAGAGGAGTGAGAACAGATTGAGATATGATCTGTCAAATTCCTTTCACTGAGTTCGTTGAGGATCCATGTTGCATACTTTTGAATAAAGCCAAGTCTTTGGATGTTTCCAATGGTATGGGAAATGTTTAACATCTCTCCTAGTTCTCGGGTCGTCAAAAAGGGATTTTCTTCTAGCCTATGCTTCAATATGTCATCATCAACTTCAGAGGACATCCACTGTGCGCATCATTGTTAAGAAGATTTTTTTTTCTCTAACTCGAACAAACCATCATTGGACTTTACAAAAATTTACAGCATTAGCATTACTAAACACTTCACACAAATTTTCAGTTGAGACATTTGTATTGAAGCCTACTAAATTTTTCAACACAATTAAAGAGGCGTTCTTTTTTATTGTATATAGTACATACTTTATTGTAACAAAATTACATTTTAGTTTTGCTAAGTTTAGTTTTGCAATAAGTATAGTAGTGAAGGTTGAAATGGGGTGTTGGTGTCCGAGTGGATCGAAGTCAGGATAGCTCCTAATAACTTTTACTCTCCAGATGTCACCCACTCACCCAAGAGTACTCCATATTCCTCAAGGAGGGAGTAAGCAACCCCTTCTTTTCACGTTAATAAATTACATTTATTCCAATAAATTAACACAAACACAATGCTCGATAGAAACATAGAAGTCTGGTCACATTCACTTCCCCAGAGTACTAGATATTCCTTGTGACGGGGTAATTACATAATTTATCCAGGTTTATAAGGAAGTGAAAATACATACTAACCTGCTAAAATAATTTATTTACATACATTTTTTTTAAACATACACATAATTACATATATGTACTAATATATATATNTATATATATATACTGGTAATAAACGCCTCTGGAGAAACCTTAGGAGAGATCCTAAATTTAAAATTGTTAAAATATTATTATGTTTAAGTTTATTATGCCTTAGTTCAGTCAAAAATTTGCTATGGGATTGTTTCATGGGGTGGAACTAATTTAAATCCATTAATTATAATTCAAAATTCTCTTTTGAGAACTAACCTTTCTAAACCTTTTAGATTTAACACTAATCAACTATATGATATTTTTCCAGTTCTAAAATTTAAACAATTGTTGTTAAAATATTTTTGATTGTATGTCTTTAAATATAACCTTTTTGCTGAATCAAACAATGAGTATCAAACAAGATGAAAAGTAGTTACTAACATTTTTGTATCCAAAGTAAACACTAATTTTTACTTCAATTAATTATTCTTTCTATGTAGGGCTGAGATGAAAAAGTTAGTATCACGAGCGGGATTCAAACCCACGACCTTTGGCTCGGTATGCTGATGCTCTAACCAATTGAGCACTTCGATTGAAGACACGATAGCTCAAGTGGTTAGAGCCGAAGGTCGTGGGTTCGATCCCACTTGTGGAGCCAACTTATTCATTTCAACCAAAACCTTACATAAAAAGATTAATTAATTGGAAGAAGTAATTTGGTCAATATACCACAAGATATAATGAATAAGTATAGGTGTTTATGTTAAGGCCCTAATTTGTATGGGACATGATGTGAGATTGTGTACAGACCCTTATTTACAGTGTACGAGCATATACATACTGATTATTTAAAATAATAAGTATAATGGAGAAATAGATATTTACAGTTTAACAAATAGGAGGGACTAAAGCAAAATGAGTGCATTTGCATTATTTAGTTTTTAAATTTTATGTAATAGTCACCAGTCACCAAGCCTTTTCTCTTTCATGTGTCGGTTGTTTTGGGACGGTGGTAGGGTTTGGGTCGATATTTTTAGTTCAGTACCTAAGTAAGTGTTCCTCACTACCATGGGACAACTTATTAACTTCAGAACCCGATTTTGAACTGCCTGATCCTGTATCACTTGAGACTTGCTCACTGATGCCCATATCTCACAGCTACGCATCCAATTGGTCGACAAGTATATGCAACGTTTCAGGGGCAATGCTTAACCCTGGACCTGGTGAAATTGCGGTAAAAAATGCGATGGATAAAAATGCAGTCCATAATAAAAATGTCAAAACAGACCCTTTTTTATTATTTAAACCACCAAATTTTTTATATTTCCTATTATGAATAAGAGATTACTGATTGAAGTGGCGCTTAAATTTGCTTTTGCTTGCTGCTCGATTTGGGTGTGATCGCAGTCACCGTTGCTCAATACCAATAAAGCAGTCACCGATCAAATCCGTTAGGCGTTTTACTGAATTGTATTCTCTGTTTTTTGGATTAAAAAATCATCTTAATTTTTTCCTTCATCTAGTAGTATCTTTAATCCTTTAAGCATTTTGGCATTTTTTGTCCACGTTTTTATTTTTTAGTTTAGGGGGATAAAATCACTTTGTGTGATTTTCCTTTCTTTTTTGTTTGCTTACATTCAAATACAGAAATGGTCAAGGTTTCTGGTGATAGGCCATGGTTAGGAAATTGAATCGATTTTTAGGTAAAGATCAAAACACGTCAATTATCACAAAAAGGTTTCATGCCCAGAGGTAATTTAGACTTTTTGTAGAGAAGAAAGAACAACTGCCTGGTAACCTGAGATTTAACTGAGGTTTGATGTTGGATGGCTTCCTCTTGGAGATTTATCAGTGACGTTTCTACGCTACTTTTTTATGTGAAATATACCATTGCGATTTTTACAGGTTAAGCTTCACCCTCCACTTTTCATATTAGTTGCTTGTTTATTTTATTGGCATAAGGACTGTAGTCTGCAAGGCTAAGTCTGAATCACCGAAGCCAAAGCCACAACATCATCAGTAAAATGCACAAACTTTAACACAGAGGAATGGGGGTAATCTGCAGTATACAGAATGTAGAAATGGACCCATCCGCTTCCTAGTGGAACTCCAGCCAAAAAATGGCTTTTTTTACTAAAGAAGTGAAAACAAAAACTGAGGCAAAATATGCCTTTTAATTTATGGATTAAACAAGTGTATTTGTAAACAAAAGTAATAGAGAAAAAACGTAAATATTGCACTAATAATCCTATAATTGAAAACATTTTTTTTTTGCCAAACCAACAATTATTATCTTAGTATTGTACTTTAACATAGAAATGGATGGGTAGATCTTGCTGGCTGTAAATTCAGTTTGCTATTTCATTATATGTCAAATTACAGGTTTTGATGTTGTAAATAGGTGTAAATTATAATTAAAAGTTTCAAAGTCTTGATGAAGTGGATATGTTTTTGGAAAGCTCGAGGAACTAAGTATTTTCAGTCCAATTTGCCTTATCCCTGATCTTTTTTAATGTATAAAATAAATTACAATTAATTAAGGTTTTTAGTTGAGATAAAAAAGTCAATGGCACGAGCGGGATTTGAACCCACGATCTTCGGCTAGATACGCCGCTGCTCTACCACTTGAGCTATCGTGACCTCGATCCACTCGGACACCCACTTCCCATTTCAACCTCACCTTTTGAATTTTTCCTCCTTTATCTCAACTAAAAACCTTAATTAATTGTAATATATTAATTGATCAAGCGGACCACGAAATTAGTGAATATATGCGGACCACGAAATTAGTGAATATATATATTAAAAAAAAATTAAAGGGTATTTCATTGACAATTGTTTCCAGGTCTTCCTGATACGTTTGCAAAGATTAGTGTAGATGGGTCAGGGCAGTGCCATTCAACAGATACATGCAAAGGCACTCTTGACCCACAGTGGAATCAGTATTACGACTTATACATTAGCAAGAATGATAGGATCACGATTAGCGTATGGAACCATAGGAAGATACACAAGAAGGACCGAGGGGGGTATCTTGGAAGCGTCCAGATCACATCTAACGCCATACAACGACTCAAAGACACCGGATGTACGTTTAGTAAAAAAAAAGTATTTTTGTTTATTTTGATTTTTGTTAATTGAAATGGTATATTTCAGATCAGAAACTTGAGTTGTTAAATTTGTTACTTCCGTCGTATTATTGCGTAAGGGGGCATATTGTGATATCGCTTCTATCATGGAGTTGTGGCCGCAACTCGCCACTCAGAGAACAGTGTTCCCCTTCTTCTTCAGTGTCGCCGCATACCAACGAAAGTTCCCAGGAATTGCCATCGGGATGGGAGGAAAGGAGGACACCCGAGGGGAGGTTGTTTTACGTTAATCATAGGACTGAAACGACCCAATGGACATTACCAACAGCTGAACGGTAATATCACGTATTTATTATCGTAGCATACTATTATATTAAAAAAGATAATAAATTTTTTAAATAAATATAAAATATAAGTTATTTATAAATATAACATTATTTATGTTTATATTTATTTATTTATTTTTGTATAGATCTGGAGGAAGTAATAGCACAAATACAAATGGAAGAAATGAAACACCGTCATCAACTAACAATCGTAGAGAAAGGTAACATCAAACCTATAGCCATAAATTATTTTTGTTTCAAATGTGTCTGATTAGATTCACTAGTTAATAATTAATTTGTTAAATAAATAACGTATTATTTTTTCCAGCCTGAACACGAGTTCGGATTCATGCCTACCAGGTCTGCCACCATCTCAAGCTCGAAGAAGATCTACAAAAACAAGGAGTAGCCAGGGAAGCCGACACAATATCCAACAACCTTCTGACCTCCCCTCAGGATACGGTAAATTTTCAAAACCCGTCAACACCCGTTATTAGGATTTTCCTTTATGAATATATTTTTAGAAATAAGAACTACCGAACAAGGACAAGTGTATTTCTACCATGTTGCGACTGGAGTCTCGTCCTGGCATGATCCAAGGGTGCCGAGAGGCTTGGATACTGAAGCGGTCGGAGAGCATTTAGGCTCCCTACCGCCTGGGTGGGAGGCGAGACATACACCTTCTGGAAGGGTTTATTATGTCGACCACAACAAAAGGACAACCCAGTTCACCCATCCCGCACTTTCAACGTTCTTACGTGCAGGAGGAAGTGGACTTAACGGCCACGCTACTAATACTATGACTGCAGAAAATCCTCAACCCAACGGAGAACAAGAGTAAGTGAAATCTATAGATTTAAAAAGTGATAGATGTTCGTAATTTTTTACTTCTTTTTTTTTAAATAGGGCTAATGCTAACAAAGAAAACGTAAAAGAACCCGAGGGCGAGCCGCTTCCTAAATACAGGAGAGACCTCGTTGCAAAACAAAAAATACTCAGAGTAGAACTCGGCACTCTCCAGCCTCAAAGCGGGCACTGTAGACTTGAAGTTTCAAGGCAGGAAATATTTGAGGTTTGTAAAGAATTGTTTGAAAAATGTTGGTACTATATTTCTAAAATAATACTACGTAATTATGGCTATAATTTGATCATTATCGATCATTTTGGTCTGTCAGGTTTATCACCTTACAAATTACAAAATTTTACACTTGTTTTTATTAATAATGCAAAAAATGAACAATATCTGTGCAATTTGGTCATTGTCGATAATCCTGGTCTACTTACCATGTCAGATCCCAACACTGAACATAAGTGAAATGCCAGAATTGGTCCAACCTGGATAGGCAGATCATGATGATCGGTAATGATTTCATTACAGGTTCAACAACCACACAGTAAAATAATATAATTATTATTTTAAAATGGAATTGTTAAGTGATTTTTTAAGTTTAAAATTTAAATGTTACATAAATTTTTGTATTGTTTTATGCTTTTTTTAATGGTACAATACTGTTTTCTATTTTAGGAATCATACCGACTTGTTATGAAAATGCGGGCAAAGGATCTTCGTAAACGACTGATGGTTAAGTTTAGAGGGGAAGAAGGTCTGGATTACGGCGGCGTGGCACGTGAATGGCTCTACCTCCTCTCTCACGAAATGCTCAATCCACAATACGGTCTATTCCAGTACTCGACCGAATCGACCTACACCCTTCAAATAAACCCCGACTCAGGTGTCAATCCCGTAAGTTGTTTTTTATTTTATGTTCATAGTTTAAAATAACAATGAAACTAATCGGTTTTCTTTTTTGAAAATATAGGAGCATTTGTCATATTTTCATTTTGTGGGAAGGATTATTGGAATTGCCGTTTTCCACGGGCACTACATCGATGGTGGTTTCACTACGCCTTTTTACAAAATGCTGTTGAATAAACCTATAAACCTGGACGATATAGAAAGCGTTGATCAGGAACTGCATAGGAGTCTCACATGGATACTGTACGCCGATATTTTCCATACTCAGTAATTTAATAATTCCAATAAATATTTCTTATAACTTTTATTTCTTAACAGAGAAAATGACATAACAAATGTCATCGATACAACATTCGCCGTCGAATTCAACAGCTTCGGTGTTCTAAAAGTCCACGAGTTAAAGACTGGAGGGAAAGACATCCAGCTGACCGAGGACAACAAAAAGGAATACGTCAAGTAATATGAATCCCATAAAATTAAATCGATATTTTTTAGATGGTTAACTAAATTTTTTTTTTTTTTTTATTCAGGCTGTACGTGAACTATAGGTTCATGCGCGGCATTGAACAGCAATTTTTAGCCCTGCAAAAGGGATTCACCGAACTTATCCCGCTCCATTTGCTCAAAACATTCGACGAAAATGAACTCGAACTCATTATTGGTGGGCTCGGCACAATAGATATCGCCGACTGGAAGGAAAACACAAGACTGAAGGTATTTCAATTATAAAATATCAACAGAAAAATATAGAATTTATATATACACTCAAAGGCCAAAAAAAAAAAAAAAAAAAAAATTAAAAATAAATAAATAAATAAAATAAATAAATAAGAAAAAAAACCTATTCTTATTTTTATCATTATATTAATTAGAACAAACATATTTTAATGCAATCCAAATTAAATGAGATCAGGAATTAATTAGATTTAATTAATCTTTTTAAAATTATGATGTGTTGAAAGAAAATTCACCAAAACACCAGAACAACTGATAGTTTAATATTATTTAATGCAATCCAAATTAAATGAGATCAGAAATTAATTAGTTTTAATTAATTTTTTAAAAATTATGATGAGGGAAGAAAATTCACCAAAACACCAGAACAACAGATAGTTTAATATTATTTTAATGCAATCCAAATTAAATGAGATCTAAAATTAATGAATTTTTAAATTTTTTAAATTATGATGAGTTGAAAGAAAATTCACCAAAACACCAGAACAACTGATAGTTTAATATTATTTTAATGCTATGCAAATTAAACGAGATCAGAAATTAATGAGTTTTTAAATTTTTTTAAATTATGATGAGTTGAAAGAAAATTCACCAAAACACCAGAACAACTGATAGTTTAATATTATTTTAATGCAATCTAAATTGAACGAGATCAGAAATTAATTAGTTTTAATTAATTTTTAAAAAATCATGATGAGTTGAAAGAAAATTCACCAAAACACCAGAACTACTGATAGTTTAATATTATTTTAATGCAATCCAAATTAAATGAGATCAGAAATTAATGTTTTAATTAATTTTTTTAAATTATGATGAGTTGAAAGAAAATTCATCAAAACCCCTGACCAACTGATAGATTGATATTATTTTAATGCAATCCAAATTAAATGAGATCTAAAATTAATGAGTTTTTAAATTTTTTAAATTATGATGAGTTGAAAGAAAATTCACCAAAACACCAGACCAACTGATAGTTTAATATTATTTTAATGCAATCCAAATTAAACGAGATCAGAAATTAATGAGTTTTTAAATTTTTTAAAATTATGATGAGTTGAAAGAAAATTCACCAAAACACCAGAAAAACTGATAGATTAACATTTATTTAATAATTTATTACCTACTTTTGCTCTTAATAATATTTCCTTCTCTGGCCTTAAGACTTCTAGGCATCAAGTAAATAACTTGTTGGAAACGGCAAACCTCGTCTAACCCATCTCTGTATCATGTCAGGAGAACATACTGGCCAATTCATTATGGCAATCTTTACATTCTCCAAGTAATGGACAACTCAAGCTACAAGTGGTCAAGAATTATCATGCAATAGAATAAAGTTGTCCCCAATAAATGAAGCAAATAGGACCATAGCTAAAAGAACATGGTGCAGTAAAAGATCCATTATTTATGATAATTTGGTACAGGCATGGACGTTGGTTCCACCCCATACCATTACTGTCTTTAAAAAGGTGAATCACACATGGCACATGAAGCGTGTCTCTCTATGTTCTTCACTTTGTCTCTGCACATAGTCCCGGTCATCCGATTGCCCCCGAGTACAGCCCCCCTTTTGTTTAACTTCCAAGTGATGCTGATTTGCGAATAGTCGCCCTTCTACACGATGCCTCTCTAGTAGTAAACTGATGCGGGACATCTTGAGGCTATTCTCACAAAGCCTTCTGTTAGATCTCACCCGTACATTACGGATCATTTGGATTTGACTGTCATGGAAGCTGTTAAATGATCCGTAGTGCAGTAAGAGCAATAAAACGCTCATCCCAGGCATTGTACATCACGGCTGATTACTACCTTCTCTTCAATTGAGACTTCCAGTGGCCCTAAACCACTGTAGACTGTTGGAAGGTCGAATGCGGCACACCAAGGCTTGGAGTATGTGACATATGCTACATCCATATTGGTCAAAGCATCTTAAAATAAAAAGGCGAATTCTTCTCGATTTAAAGCCATGCTTTTAAGAAAGAAAAAAAACACTTGACAAGTGGAACCCTGGAAATGATAAAATTGAACTGATTCTCTTTACTTTCAATCTAAAGGATTAATAACACTCTATAAAGGTAAAAATAGGTTATTAATTTTGTAATTACGTTTTAAATCAACTATTAATCTTCATGCTTAGTTATTATGGAAAATAAATTCAGTTGTCCTTTTTTTTTCCTCTTTGAGTGTATTTAAAAATGGCTTCATTTGATAATTTTAGTCATGCTCTCAGCTATCCTCTTTAATGTAGAGAAAGGTACATGTTTGTATAAAAAAAAAAAAATCTTTTCAGCATTGCACTTCGACAACTCCAGTGGTCGTCTGGTTTTGGGAGATAGTGGAGTCGTTTAGTGAAGAAATGAGAGCGAGGCTGCTGCAATTTGTAACTGGGAGCTCTAGGGTACCTCTCCAGGGATTTAAATCATTACAAGGTTTGTGCTTTATTTTTTTGGGCCAAATATTGACACGGTGAAGTTTGGAGCTTGAAAGTTGACTCTCCGGTGTTTTTCCTCCTTTCCAATAAATATTTCATATACAACTTTTATTTCTTAATAGAGAAAATGACATAACATATGCCATCTCTACAATAAATTGCCTTAATATTAATATTAAACAGTAATTTTTTTAAAATTTTTTTATTGTTTATTTAAATTAGCATTTACTGGTGGGTTACCGGGGCTGCGCTTCCATTGCGTGAAAACCGCCAAATGCAAGTATTACACTTGTAACCGCTGCTCGGGTTAACCATTTCCACAAAATGAAAGTTTGTGCGAGACAAACATGCTGCTCGTAACTGCACCTACTGCACCATCAGCATTTGCTATCATGGCGATACTTTACATTAAGAATAAAAAGGAAAACAAACGAAGAAAACACCACATTTTCTTCAACGTATCCTCTATCTTGTTCTTATTATGATGACTTCTATCTTTAGCACTCACCAAATTGATACAGTTGGGTAAGTCGAATGCATCCCTACTGGTTCATTCTGAAGCTTGAGACGCGTGTGCTTTTACATGTAGAGAAACAGATGTGAAGCACTTTGATTCGCACTAAAAAACCGGCAGCTAACCTCGAAACATCTTAATGCCAAAAACTTTCTGGTCCAGCTAGGTATCCACAACGTGAGACATGTTTCACAAAACAGTTCCGAGGGTAATTTTTAACGTCCAAGTTAGGCAACCTGCACATTTTTCTGGTTTCTAATTTTTGTAAAAACCATCTTGTTTTTAATTATTTTGATATTACTTACATTTTCTAATTTTATTTTATAATTCAGCAACTTTGCCAATTAGTTGTTTTGTCAATAATTTGATGGAGTAAGTTGAAATTTCTTTTTAAAAAAATTACCATAAATTTATTTTCATTTTAAAAATTGTACAATAAATTCAAACTATTTACATAAAACATTATTATTTAACTAAAATGATTAGAAAAATTAATCTGATGCTGGGTGTTGGTCTCGAGCCATAAACTCATGTTCAACCGACATTGGGTCAGTCTTCACTTACGGGTTTGTTGAACTACTCAAACCTGTTTTGGCATTGCGCCATCTTCAATGAGGAACTGTCTGAGTACGACTATGTGCTGTCACTAAGGGCATTTGTGGTAGGGAGTGTGGTCGTGGTGTTCATTGGTCGGTCATGATGTCAGTTATTTTCAGTTGTTGGTTTTGAGTTTTTGTTAATTAGTTGTCATTGGTTTGCTTCTAAACATTCTGTGAAGAGATTAGAAGAGGTGAAAGGTTAATTTTTTGTACTATTGTTACCTTTTACACTTCAGAGCTCTTCCTATTAAGACTCCATTTTCAAAAGTTGGTAAAAACTAATTAAATAAATTCAACAACCCTGAAAAATAGAATAATATTTTTATATTTATCTTTATAATAGCCAAATTTAATCAAAAATTAAACATTTACAAAGTAAATAAAGAGAACAACAAATTGTTAAACTTTTGGAGATATTCTGTGCAAAACCTTGAAAATCTAAAAAATATTTTAGCATTTATCAGTATCCGTCAAGTCTGTTATCTTATCCAATATACAAATAATCAATTGTTACCTTTAAAAAAACAAAAAAAGTTCATAGTCAATTTTCTCAGGTGTCAATAGAGCTATGCCGTAATAGTGCATATAGTTTGAATTCTGGTTTCACTTTGAATCTAAAAATGTCTTCAAAGTGGGGATGGCATGAAAGTGGCGAAAAATAATAGCCAATAAAATAAAAAAAACAGTCTGACAAATTTCCTGGGTCTCAAATGTGACCCCACCCTGGATGTGTTAATTATCCTCAAATTAATTAACATTGTCACTTGTATAATCTTCCCACGTTATCAGTCATTTATTTGAACAATAATATATTTCAAACAGAATCTTCATCGTGCTGCATATTAGTCTGCTTAATATTTTTTTAAATACGTTTTAACTTTTTTTTCTTCAGTTTTTTTTTTTTTTTTTTAATTTTAGGCTCTACCGGGGCTTCTGGGCCAAGGCTGTTTACAATCCACGTGACAGACGCCCCGCAGGAAAATCTGCCAAAGGCGCACACGTGTTTCAACAGGATCGACCTCCCGGCGTACAAGACTTACAACAAATTGTACGACAAGCTCTGCCAGGCTGTCGAGGAGACATGCGGATTCGCAGTTGAGTGATCTGAAGGGGAAAAAGAGGGTAAAAAGCTCAAAGAACCAGAAAATTGGTAAAGAAGGTTTTTATTTTTCTGCTTTTTTCTTTCATTCTCACTCTCTGCCTCTAAGTTATTCATTTATTTTATTTCAATTTGAAAAAAAAAAAAAATTGCAATATTTCTTATTAACATACAACTACAAGACTAGATTTAAAAAAAATTACCGCTAGTCTTGAACTTGTTTTTTTTTTTTTTTTAAATCTACTTGAAAACAAAATAATTTTACTGATTATCTGTGATCTTGCAATATTTAATCAAATATTTTTTTAAAATTTTCTGATAAACATAAAACCACAATCAATAGTTAAAAAAAAATGACTTAAAGTGATCATTGTGTTCATCATATCACAGATTGCAATGTCAGAAGCCTGTGCCTTAAATGAAATCATATGAAGAAAACCCCTTGTATTTTAATTGGTTTTAAGTTACTATAAATATTATTAACAGTGCCTTAATAAGTACTGAGTAACAGGATACTATTTTTATTAAATTATAATAATTCAAAATGTATTATTGCAAAATACAATTATATAAACAAAAACTACTTGATTTTTTTTTATTATCTTTTTTTTTTAAATTGTGCTTGGTAAATTTCTATGCGTGCAAACACAGTTTGGGAACTATATTTTAGTTTTTGAATTTTTTTATTAATAAGAAAAATTTAACACAAAGACACAATCATTTTAGAAAGTTTGAATTAAAGCACGACAGAAGCACCAATCGTCTTTAAATCTACATTTCTATAATTGTAAATTATATTTTTGTAAATAAACAGTAGATAGGAGAATTTAATTAATTATATAAACGATATAAAAGACAGATTTAAACATTATTATTATTATTAATATTATTATTTTGTGTAAATAGCGAGTTGATGTAGTGTATTTGCCATTAGTTGAGATTAAGGATTTGTTAAGTTTTTAGATTTTAAGAGGCAAAAGATTTGCAATAGTTATTCTTCATATTTTACTACTTTTTCTTTCTTCCTGAGATATGTTTATTTTATTATTATTATTATTTTTTTTTTTTTACAGATAGAAATAAATGTCTATTTTTAATTTGTATTAACTTTAACGTTCGATTGAATACTGTCTTTCAAGTGTCCTTTTTATCAGGAATGATATTTTTCATGTTGTCTACAAAATAAATACTGCTTGTAATGTTGTCGTTTTAAATACAACCCTTATCAAACATGACAGACTGTAGGAGAAATTTGTTTTTAATCTTGTTCTATACAGTCTTCCAGTCCTCCACTGTTTTTTTAAATCAGTGATAAAGATATGATAAAAAAATTTATGCTGGTATGATTTATGAACAAGGTATAACAGAAAGAATATTAATTAAAAAAGAAAAACCAATAGACAATAATACGTACCAGTATAAAAAAAAAATATGTAATTATGAAAAATAAAATATGTAATTGCCTATCCACCTTTATATACAATTAAAGATAAAATGTATATTTCTAATGTATAAGAAAAGCCATATATATAGAAAAAACAGTTCTATTGTCAAAAAATAGATCATACCAACATCAAAATAGCTTAAAAATAATAATAACAGATCTTTCGCGACACATAAGTAGAAACAAATGTGCTGATTGGTTAAATGACTCTTTTTTAATTTTTTTTCTTTTTTTGCCCGGCCGTCTAACTACTAGGGTCATTGCCGGCACCTCACGAATATAAGCTTCTCGCATTTTTCTTTGTTTCATTTCAACTACATCTCTATCTCATTCACTATATTTCTTATTTTAATTTTGTTTCCTATTGACCAAACAGAGGAGTGTTTTTTTGCTTGTTCCTACCATCCCACACATGGTTTTTTAAAAATACTTTAATCTTTACAGACTCACTAACAATACCACTCATGCTAAGAAAATTATTACCTAATCTACAGTTGGCAGGCTCAGAGTATGGGTGCAAGACTGAGGTCCTGCCCCTACAACTAAATAAAAAGTCAGTAATAAAGTCATAATCCTACCGACTTGCTTCCATTCGTGCTAATAAATACATTCAGTATGTACAGAATTTCATTCATCCATTAGAATATTTTCCTTTTGACGGGTTTGTGGAGTATTCGATATTCCTCGACATCCACGTCCATTTACACAAAACATTCAAGCTAATAAATACATTCATAATGGAGAAGTTGCATCTCGGCAGTATTACTGTAACCTTGATAGCGGCAACTTGTTACTCACATCCCACAACAAATATATAATTACCTAAACTTATTCGGGCTTGTGAGCTACTCGATTCAGTCACAGCCACACCCAGACATACCTCACCCGCTAATAAATACATTCACACTGCAAAATGGAGATATACCATGTGTAGTTGGTTATATGTATCCATACGCATCAATTTATCTTGTCAAAGATTATCTTTGAAGTCACTGCTTAAGAACTATTTCCTGATTAGATAGTAGGTCACACTGTTCTTGGTACTCTCTTAACTTATTACATTCTTCTAATATATGTCTCACTGTTACCGGGTTTCCACAGAGTGGGCTGCGTTTTTGACTTCTACCCACTAAGAAGTGAGATGGGTGTGATCTATTTGCAATGTTGTTAATATTATTTTGTTACATTTTTCCAAATTCTCCACGTGCCATGGCCTCACTGTAATTTTATCTATTTTTAGCTTTTCATTACTTTCGTTCCAGCGAGCCTTTTAGTTATTGTTTTATTATTTTATCCTTAAATTTTTTCTCCATTTATGTTTTCTCTTAACTGTATTACTGCTTGACTAAAGGGTACAAAAACAAGAACGTAATTATCATGTCAGATAGCCATGGAACGATTAAAGAACTAAGCTTAAATATCATTAGTTTGAAGATGGTGTTGAACTGCAAAACCAAATAAAACATAGGTAGGCAGAACAAAGTCAGCCTCTGCTGGGTCGCAGGACATGTGGGAGTAGAAGGCAACAAGAAAGCGGACACCCTTGCAAGGAAAGTGGCTTCTACACCGCTGATAGGACCCGAACCCTTCAGTGGCATAGGCCTCAGACAGAAGGACAAAAAGAAAATGAATTCACGCATTGCACACAATCCAAGAATCTCCTAAAAAATTTCGGAAGGAAAGAAGTAACAGAATGAACTAAAGGAAGCAGGAAGAAAACTGTGAATCCTAACAGGACACTGCAAACTAAACGGACATTTAAAGAAGATTGGCAAAACCCAATACGGCACATGCAGATTCTGCAAAGAGGCAGAGAAGACACCAACACACCTATTAACAAACCGTGGTGCTACATTTGCCGCAGAAGGAAGTGCTTTGGGATGTACAATATGACCGTAGAAAAAATTCAACCACTGAAACCAGGCCTACTAATCAAGTCCCTTGATGATCTAGGACTCACTGGTGTACTATAGGCACAGAACGGGGCAATAGCTCTTAAACGGCACAGCATATCACACCCTAACTAATACATCTACTTTATTACTATACTTTTTGCAAATAAAATTATTATTAATTTTTAAGGGTGTTTTAACAGCTAAGGTCATTTCACGCCCTAACGTATCAGGTTAGCCATATCCCTTAGTGCTATAAAGCTCAGACTCCAAACATTGTCATAAACTAATCTATCCTAATGCTATCCATTTAATCTATCCTTTTAAAATTTTAAATTTGGAAGGGCAAATTTATGCAAAAATTCCATTTTATATTATAAAATTTAGTCCTGTTCTTTAATTAGAATTTTGAATTTTTGTTTCATAATTTGAACATTTCACATAGGCTTTTATGTCCAATAATAATAATAGAGTCAGACTAGCAACAGTCTCAGCATGAGTAAAGGCTCATTGATTATTATTATGTATATGATTTGTACAGATGGTAATAAGTATATAAAAGAAATATTAATTATGCTTTTAATGCAGTATATTACCATTATATTTTCTTTATTTATTTTATGTTTTAATTTTTCATTTATTATTTTCATAGTATAGTCGAGAATATTTCAAAGTTGTAATAGGAAGTTAGTTTTTTTTCATTTTTATTTTTTATCTTTTGGGGTAGTGTCCTTGTGAATTAATGATCGGAACGGTTCGAATCAGGTCGTTTGACGAGAACGACACGTCAGATGACGCGGGAGTCGTCATTTTTCCTCGAATTCCGTCGGCGAGAGGTTGCAAGCTGACCCGTTTCGACCAGTAATGAGCTGCTGATTTGCTGAGCCTCCTTCGTTTTCGCGAGCCAGTCGCCACTCAGCATTCGTTCGGCCCGTTTGCTAACAGGATTCGTTCCGACTCCACCTGTAGAACCAGCCGAGATGGCTTTTGTACCGGGCTCTGCGGCCCAGCCAGTCTCAGAAGTCGAGCTTTCCCTTGCTTGCAGGTCAGTTTTACATTATAATTTTATTAACATTTTTTTTCCACTTTAACTTTTTCATTGTTTAAATTGCTTTTATTCTTTAAACAACATTAATTTATTTTCATCGGGCGTGCCTTTCTTATTAATTAAAGGACACATTAATATTGACAGATCACACAATCAAATGTGTTTTTTCATGCCTCTTGGGGTCATTTTTTCCTTTTTTAGGTTTTCTTTCGGACTTTCTTACCTACATGGGATCTTCTCTTAAATAAAAATAAAATTAAACAATAAAAAAATTAAACACAGTCTAATTTTGGCCAAACCAGCAATAAAAAATCTTTTATTGACAATTTATTCCATTTTTTCTGCATAAAATTTTTTCTTCTACTACTGAATTTATTATATTATAATATAATAGTGACCGATCAATGTTTAGCTGTGTCACTTCTGATTTGTTCTGCTGATCTACTGTTTGTATTTACTCTCAAACTGTATTTTTCCTTTATTCTGAAGATGCTGGGTTCTCCAGACTTGATACTCAAAAATTACCTAACTTGAAAAAATTCGATCAGAGATTTCTTGGTACTCCGCCTGGAAATCATTACTTGGATCTCTTGTTTTGGATTGATTCCCAACACCGCAGGGAACCGATCATGCCATGAGATCAGCGTACATTTCATTATATAAAGAGTTAAGGGGTCGTCTAGCGTTCGATCTGAAGAAGCCCAATTTTAAAGATTACGTGTAGAAATGTGTGGTGATTAGTGACCGTTAATCGATAATTATTCAGAAATGCGGTCTGGTGTGAAGGTTTCAAAAAAACATTTTCTTTATTGTGCCAACGTTTCAATCTTTATTGAGATCATCTTCAGGGCTCAAAGTGTTTGTCTTCTGTGTAATTGTGCCATTCTTGCGTGTCGTGTTGAGAGTGCACAACATTGGCACGATAAAGAAAATGTTTTTTGAAACCTACATCACCCCAGACCGCATCTCACAATTTCTGAATAATTAATTAAAGATTACTCTTTGATTGGGCTGCGTTGGCTTTTTAAAATTCTTCAGCTGAACTTGGCCGTGTGGAATAGTGGTGAGCAGGCTTCTCTGTTCGCTTTGCAATTCGCACGCCCTCGAATCTGTTTTTCATTTTTTGGCAGAGTGTTCAATTCTGGGTTAGATCCGCTTGCTTCATTCTGTCAAGGGGTGAACTAATGGGTTTTTTGGAGTGTTCAAGATCTAGACCTTTTTATGAGGTTTATGAGGCAGGCTTGGAGCTACAGATATGAGCAGACAAGAATTTAATTTTTGATTTTATTGCTGAAGTAATATACATATTTTTTTTATTGTCATTTTTTCTTTTCCCTTTTTATGAATGCATATAGAATTTTAATTGTTAATTTTTTTTTTTAACACAGTGACCTACAGCAGACAGATTTTTTGATCCATTGTCTATTTACTTTTAAATTTTTCTTCTCTCTATTGTTCTCTATTTATATTGTAAATATAAGAGTTTTTCGTTCATTCATAATTTATTATTATGGATTATTGATTATATTGTGCAATTGACACATCGTTCAATATGATGAAATACAATGCAACGTTTTAAATCTGACTCATTCAGCTTTAAATTTATTGTACTGACTTGAGTGAGATTTCCTCTGGTGATAATAATTGTCATCACAGATCATTTTGGTCTGCTTATCCTTGCTTTTGCTATTTAAATTGTTGTGATTGTGCGGTTTTTGTCGAGTCTGACAGACCAAGGGGGAAGACAAAAATCATCGGTGACGACTAATGATTCCTTGACTTGGTACTGTTTTTAAGTTAATTTCAGATGTTCAACAGTGCCAGTTGTAGACATCATCGCTAGCGCTCTTGAGCAAAAGGAGTGTTGCTGCAGTGCAAAACTAGATGTGAAGCAAGCTTCAATCGGGTATGGCATTCGGGGCTCTTCTGGAAGCTTAAAAAAGTCCTTCCTTTTCCTGATCCTAAAATCCTACTTATTGGACAGATACTTTCACTTTTTTCTGCGGCCACTGAACAACAAGAACAAAACAAACAATATCGGGCTCAATAGGCAACCCTGACATACACAATGCACCTCGAAAGAATCAGATATTCTACTTTGCCACTGAAAATAACAATTTCAATATCTTAACAAATTTGAAAGAAAACCCCAAGTTTTACTGTTTTAGAAAAAGAGCCAAACAGTTAATGCTATCAAATGCTGCTTTCAAGTCAATAAGTAAGCAAAATGCTTTTTTATTCGATTTGGAGAATCTCAGACTCATTTAGTTGAACAAAACAACTAAATTGTCACAAGTTGAGAATCCTTTCCGAAATCCCATTTGGTTTTCACTTAATAAATTATTAACATTCACAAATTTTTCTGTTCTATTAAGCCACAAACCAGATTTTTTTAGCTTTGCTGTTGATGCAAGAAAGTTAATTAAGAGAGAGGGCTGATAGTGGAATATTGAGTGCATTGGGTGCTGATATGACTCCCTTAAAATTTTTGGAATTTTCCAGTTATTTTTTGTCTAGGGGCTCTCCTTTTGCTTTATGAAAAGCAAAAAGAACAAGTAAAGCGCTAAATAAGCAAATCTCTAGAAATCTGAGCCATTCTCAGTCAATTATTGTTAGATGTAAGGTAATTTATCTATTTTTGTTTGATCAAACTTCGTTCTAATTGACCCGAGGTGGCTTTACCAAGCATTTTCCCCAAGAATTTGTACGATTTATTACAATTTATTTGTTTTGTAATATAAACATGTTTTTATAGAAATTTATCCTGCAAAGATGTTCTCTCAAAATCGGACCCGATGGTTGTCACATTCGTCAAGCCTTTTGGCGAGGATCGCTGGATCGAAGTTCACAGGACCGAGGTGATAACCAACTCGCACGATCCGGATTTCGCCAAGAAATGCACGATGCAGTATAAATTCGAAGAACAGCAACAGCTCAAGTTCGAGGTTTACGATGTGGATTCGTCGAGCGCTCGACTCGAGGACCACGATTTCCTCGGTTTTGCCACCTGCACTCTTGGACAGATAATTACTGGTGGAAAGGTAGCCAACAGGGTATATATTCAAATTTATATTACTAACAGAAGACCCTTTTCTCAATTCAAATCCTCTTGGCATGCATACTTTTTTCCTATTACAAAAAAAAAAAATGCTTACTGTGTGGTTTGCATTTTGTGATTTATGATGCATGTGTGAGACATGTTTTCTTCTACTTTCAATATATAAATTGCCTTCTTTAAATGGTGAAATTTCTTAGTTTGTAAGTCAATTAACAAAGGTTCTTCTGTGTGGTGGTCATGTGCATTTGTAAACGTCGGCTTAGCTTTACCTCATTTGGAGAAAAACTCACTCAGAAATTTGAATACAAACAGTTAAATTTATTGTTACAGTTAATTTTATTCAGGTGTCATCTCCAGGTGAAGTGAAGCGATAAATATGTTGCAAAATAATCACTTTTGCAAATAAAATTATGCTTACGTAAATTTTAAATGAGATATCAAATTGATTATATATAAAATGAATTTATAGTATAAAATTGCATGAAAACAAATTCTTTGGTGGTTTTCTGCTTTGATTCAATTAAAACTGATAGAACTAAAGATATCTTTCATTCATAAAAATGTTATACAAGTTTTATTTTTTAATATTTGTCCATAACTAATATTGAACCTGTCTAGTATAAAAATATGTTCTTGGTATGTTGCATGTAATGATAAATATTAAGAGAGCCTGGTTTTTCTGATTAGAATAAAAAAGTGCTTATATGCTAAATGCTTGAAAAAACCATACTGATCCTTACTGTTTCGTTAGCTATTTTATTTACAACTATACGGTTAATTAACAATTTCTTAACAACTATCTGTAACGATAAAAAAATATTTTCAATTAATTAAGGTTTTTAGTTGAGATAAAAAAGTCAGTGTCATGAGCGGGATTTGAACCCACGACATTCGGCTAGATACACCACTACTCAACCACTTGAGCTATCGTGACACTCGGACCCTAACCTCCCATGTCAAACCCCACCTTTTAAATTTTCCCTCCTTTTTTTATCTCAACTAAAAACCGGTCGAGGGTTCGAATCCCGCTCGTGACACTGACTTTTTATCTCGACTAAAAACCGGTCGAGGGTTCGAATCCCGCTCGTGACACTGACTTTTTATCTCGACTAAAAACCTTAATTAATTGAAAGATATTAATTGGTCAAGCGGACACAAAAACTAGTGAATTGGATAAAAAAATATTTTATTAAAATCCAAAAATATATTTTAGATAGATTATACTCATCAGGTATTCATAAATAAATGCGGTTCAAATATTCAAAACAGAACAAATTTTAATACCAACCATAAATTTCATTTTTTTTTTTTTCATTTTGCTTACAAAGTGAGGCTGCGGACAAGGGAACACCGATATCAATGAAATGTTTTTTTGGTGATACTAGGTTGAAAAATATTACCGAAAGTTTCTTGCCAAGGAGCTGAGAGGAAAACATTTTTTAGTAAGTTAAGTAATTATTTTAAAAAATTGCAGTGTTATGTCTATTTCAAGGTTATTTTATCTTGGTTGGTTAGCTTTTTAATGCAAGATAATAAAATAATAATTAAGACTGGAATGAAATGACAGAAAAACTAAAGATACGGGCAAACCATGGCCTGTGGAGAAAATGAAAAAGAAATACAGAACGATTTTAACAAGACTGAGGATAGGCCACATGCATCTCTCTTGAGGGCGGTCAGAGATGATACCCACAGTAAGATGAGTCAATGCCAGAATTGATGGAGTGTGCAAAACTGAAACACTACAGATTAAGGTTTGGCCAACCCCCAGACGTAAAGAAAATCTTGGTGCTTAACAGTGACTTATCAGAATTTATTGGAATATTTACAGATGGACCTACTACAATCTGCTCCTTTCCATACGTGCAATATGAAAGCGTGTATTTATTGTGAGAATTCTGTATGAATGAGAACGGGCCGTTTGACAATTCATACATCATTCGATCTAAGTACTTTGACAGTATATTATCTAGGTTTAGTCGTTTTTGGTATGAATGAGCGGAGTGTTCATCGGCGGAATAGTAAATACCTTGATGGCCCCCAATCTATATTTTATTTTTACATAGAATAGCATGTGTGTATGAATGAGTGTATTTATTAGCGAGATTGATGATAGATGCAAAGTTACTTTAAATAGAGAGCAGGTCGTTCGTCGGAATATTTCAGTACCTTGATGCCCGGTTTCTAGATCTTATGGTATGAATAAGAGTATTGATCATTGAGGGAACATCGAGGACCCTGTGGTGGGCCTCTTTTTTTTTTTTTTTTTTTTTTTTTTTTTTTTAAAGGAAAATGTAGAGGGTAAATTTTTTTGGGGGAAAATCAAAAATAATTTTTTTTTTTCTGAACCACATAAATCATAGTAACTTTGAAACAACTCCACATATCCACATGAAACTATAGCTTTTTTTTTTACCCGCAAAAGCAGACATTATATAAACCCCCGGGGAGCTTTTAGGAAAAAAGCTTTATGCTTTATGGAATTTATGCAGGGCTGCTGGTTTCGAACCCAGGAATCCTGTAAATTATAATAGTACAAATCTGGCTTTTGTAAAATAAAAGCTGAAGGAGTTTTAATTTGATTTCATCCTTATTTTTCTCACTTATAATAACATAAAATCAAAACCTTCTTGATAAAGTCTGAAAGAAGAGAAATTAAGCTTTCCTATCGTTATAATAACAAATTAGAATAAAATCCCGATTATGAATTTTTAAGTGGGACAGTGAGCTTTGGCTAGGGGGAAAAAAAACAAAAAAAAAACGTTCCTGGCTGTTCCATCCATAACCCTCTATTTTTGTTTCCTATAAAAATTTGTGTTTATGAGCTTTATAAGGTCCTTAAAACAAAGGTGTTAATGTTTCTAATCTCATTTATTACGATCCAGCATGTTATTTTCACACCTTAGGTTAAATAATTGAATGATAGATACGTAATTATGTATTTAAATAAAAGTTATATAAATCACTTAAAATATTTTTATGAATTATTGATTTTTTCTTGACTGCTAATTTTTCATGTTTGGAAAATAGAATTGTTACTTGCGAGTGTAGTTGGATTTTTGCAATTCATATCTATTTTTTAGCCTGCTATAAAAATTTGTATTTAAGTGCTTTAAATAGTGTATAAAATGAATGCGTTTTGTACAAAAATAATTTTTTTGGCCTACTTTACTAAAGTATTGGTTTTGTGGCTTTTTATTTGTCTAATTTCTCTAATCTAATTAATACAATCTGACTATTTTTATGTTAAAAAAAGGCAGAAAACTGCAATAAAAAGTGCTTAAAATATTTTGTTTTCCTTTTCTCGCCTCATAAAGCTCATTGGCTTTAAATGGTGTAAAAATGAATGCGTTTTGTACAAAAATAATTTTTTTTTACTGAAGTCTTGGTTTTGTAGCTTTTTGTATGTCTAATTTCTCTAATCTAATTAATACAATCTGACTTATTTTATGTTAAAAAAAAGGCAGAAAACTGCAATAAAAAAATACTTAAAATATTTTGTTTTCCTTTTCTCGCCTCCTATAGCTTATTGGTTTTAAATGGTGTATAAAATGAATGAGTTTTGTACAAAAATATTTTTTTTGGCCTACTTCACTGAAGCCTTGGTTTTGTAGCTTTTTATATGTCTAATTTCTCTAATCTAATTAATACAACCTGACTTATTTTATGTTAAAAAAAAGGCAGAAAACTGCAATAAAAAAGTACTTCAAATATTTTGTTTTCCTTTTCTTGCCTCATATAGCTCAGTGGCAAGAATGCTCTGGCACATGAAATTTTTTTGACTTACTATCATCAAAAAAAGTTTCATGGAAATTGGCGATCCCATTTGTATAGACCAATTTCTCCATCTATTTGTGAATATTAAAAAAATATTTTTCTGGAACTTTTTTTTTGTTAAGGAGATAAATAATTTTAGAAAAAAACGGTATAATCAGAGAGGGGAATCATTAACAAACAAAATTAAAATGTGAGATTTTGTGTGTCTTCTGGGTTCTGTCGGACATGTTTTGGCTTTTCACCCTCCTCAGTTTTGTTTATATTTTCTTAGTCATGTTTGAAAGAAATAAAAGGTTGGAAAAGGACCATGATTAAGATAACATAAATATACAGGATTGAAGATGGTGCAATGGCGAAATTGTCCTGGCAAACCAAAGCAGTGAGGTAATGGCCAGGGTAAACTGCTTTGTAACTTATTTTTTTTCTATTTTTAATCATGCACTCTGAATAAAGAAAATCCTTTATGCACATCTAATCATTTTCATTTTAAATAATCCACCTTTGAAAAAATTTTCAACAATAGAAATGACTTACAGTTGGAAATGACATTGAAACCGAGAGTAAAAGGTTCTGGAGATCACAGACTTGGCTCGTTGATAGCGTCCGTAGAAGAGCTCTCTTCTTCCAAAGATGAAGTTCATATCAAGCTAAGCGGGCACAATTTAGACAAGAAGGACTGGTTTGGCAAGTCGGATCCATTCCTGGAGATATTCAAATCGACCGAGAGCGGCGCTTACTCATTGGTCTACAGGACAGAGGTAGTTTCAAAGGTACAGGAGGTATTGAAGTTTCGTAGAGGGACCACTTCCTCCTGTTCTGAGGTTGTGTTTAATTCAAATTTACCTCATACGTTGACCTCGCGTCGTTGCCGTTTTAGGTAATCAAAGTGACTTTGAATCCGTCTTGGAAAGAATTCTGCCTCCCTGTTAGGAATCTTTGCAACGGAGACTACGACAGGTCGATAAAGTTTGTCTGCTACGACTGGAACCGTAGTGGCAATCATCAGCTCATCGGCGAGTTTTATACCACATTGAAAGACCTCCTTGACCAATCAACTCCAAGCAACTATTTACTCATCAATCCAGACAAACAGGTCTTTTTTAATTATTTATTTTACTATATTATATATTATATATTATTTTTCTTTTGATTTAAATTGTAATTATTGCTTTATTCAGATAAATACAATTAGCAGTTAAATTCGTTGTAATGCTCTTGGATAGACAATGTTTTTGGAGATTATTCCATTTGGAATATATACAAACAAAAAATCCCTTGATTTCCTGGGGCATGTATAATTGTCTGTGAAAAAACTACGGATTCTCCAAATTCAATTCATATAATAGCATTGATTGACATTGAGTTTTGTTTATCATTATTGCAAAAGCCAGTTTAATTTTGAAATTGCAATAGTTTGAATTGGAAAGGTATTTTTGGTGGTATCATTGGTATAAGTGGTTGGTATTAGCACATCCCCTCCTTTGAATTTTAGTAAGAATTATCTCAATTGATTTTTATCTAACGTCTTGGTTGAGATGAAAAAGTTAGCGTCACGGGCGGGATTCGAACCCACGATCTCCGGCTAAATACGCCGTAGCTCTACCACTTGGGCTATCGTGACTGATCCACTCAGACACCAACACCTCATCTCAACCTACAACCTTTCAAAATTTCCCTATTTTTGCAATATTTTCATCGTGTAATCAGGATTCAATTCTCAGCGACTTATGAAGTTGCCATGGGGTGGTGTTCGGTAAAATCATGTTTATTAATGAAGGTAAGATGTATTACGTCAGGTATCACTGATTTGTTGAGGATCAGAGATGCGGTCACAAAGAAGTGAATACTGCAACTTTTATGCCAAGCTTTCAACCTGTATTACAGTCATCTTCAGGACTAAGGTACATTGTCGTAAATAAATTGATTACAATAAAATATTTTTAAACTAATAACATTAAAAACAACAGTTGCCAATAATTACAACTTACTTATAAAATTTAAATTAAAAATTGAGACTAAATTGTTTTTAAAAATATCATTATATATTATTTTATTGTAAGTGGAAGAGCGCATGTACGTGACCGTACCGCCGGATAATCTTTCACTATTCGCTTGTTTTCTTCTAATTTATAAGAGAGTAGTTGGTGTAAGTGCTTCGCTGCTTATTTTTGTATAGGGCAATGAGGTTCAATGATTTAAGAAAATAAAAGAAAAGAAAAAGAGAACGTTCGTCAACATTTATTTCAATACACTTCTGTTTCTTTTTACATATGAACAACCACAACAAAAACTTAACTAATCTACCAAGTCAGCCACAACTCTAAATCTGGATGAGCGTATTTGCAAGACTTACCCAAAACCAGCTTCCAAATCATCCCTTCTTCCACCAGGATCTTCTTCCTGGGTCCTTGGCAGTCGACTCTATTCGACTTGTTGCAATGGCTGGTCCTTCCTGGCTGAGTCCCAGAAGAGTGTGGCTTCAGTCGGTTTGAACTCTGTACTGCTTTAGACTGACATTTGATTTCCAAATCATCCCTTTTTATACCAGTTTCTCTACCAGAGTAGGGGTTAAAAACGAAAATCAAAAGTCGAGGGAGTTCTCACAGCGTGGGAGGGCAGGCTAAGACAGGGGTCTTGCACCACGTCACTAGTAACAACCTTTCAGCCTTAAGTAACTAGACATTGGTTATTTATTATCCACGACAGTTCGTGGTCTGATTGACCAATTAACTTTTTTCCTAGTTAATTAATATTTATGAAAGGTATTGGTTGAAATAAAAAAGTCAGTGCCACGAGTGGGATTCGAACAACGACCTTCGGCTAAATACGCCGCTGCTCTACCACTTCGATTCGCTCGCACTCTAACTTCCATTTGATATTTGAAAAATGGCAAAAAGGAGGGAAGATTCGAGAAGTGAGGTTGAGATGGGAAGATCGAAGTAAAGATAGCTCAAGTGGTTAGAGCCATGGCATATTGAGCCTAAGGTCGTGGGTTTGAATCTCGCTCGTGACACTGACTTTTTCATTTCAACCAAGACCTTACATAAAAACATTAATTAATTGGAAAAATTAGTTATTTATTTGATCGGTTGTCCACTTATTGCAGATTTGTTTCCCAGGTTTTTGGGTACCCTCCTGGTGGCCCTGTCAGGGTCTGCGATCCCTTCAGATTTACAGACCTTTTTGTATGGTCCTTTAAATTAATTTTTTATTTTCAGGCCAGGATACGAAGTCATTTTCTTTATGCCAATGACCGATATTCCCATCAGACACCGATATAAACATCACAATTATAATTCAACAGTCATGAAAAGTTTTTATTTTTATTTTAACAATATAACAAAGACGAGGGCGGCCTTACAGTATCATTATATATATTTATGTAATCAGATTTATTTATAATGCAAAGTAGCCCTAAAGATAACTGTAATAAATGTCGGTTGGTGAAGAATTTACAATGCTCACTTCTTTGTGACCGCAAACCTGATTGTAAACAAATTGGAATGTTTATTAATATTTTATTTATACAATTTATAATTGTTCATGTATACCTGTAAAGCAAAACCAGTTTTTATAGTCTTTACCTTTGTACACTGAAACGTTCACTTGGAGCACTTTTTCCAATTCTGATGGTTTGGCGGTTAGGCCGGTAGTTCGTTCCCGTACTTATACCATTGCTGCCTATAGTAAAGATTCAACTGTGAAGTTTGTATCTTCCTATCTTTACATCGGTGAAACCGATTCTTTAGTTTTTGTGACTATAATCTATCAGTAGTTTTGCAACCAAAACTAATTCAGTAATTTTTGCGATTATAGAGAGGGTTACAGTTCCTCGCCGGAGCGTTGGCAATTCACCTGGTCGCCGGGTACCTGGGGGTCAGTGGAGATTTTTTCCTGTGGCCGCTTCGTCTCCAAAAGGGGAATAATCGAGCGCCACACTGTTTTTATTTTATTTTCTTCCTTTAGGAAAACAGTGAAACCCTCGGGGTGAAATAACAAAATAACAAATAAAAAATATATAAAAAAAATAAAAAAACAAAAAAAAACAAGAAAATAAAATATTAATCTCCTGTATTAAGAATAAGATGTAAAACAAAAAAATTAAATAAATAAATAAATCAAGTCTCTTCAGAGTTAAAAAAAAAAACTGTCCAGAAACCAATCTTATAACTTAAAAGCTCGAACCTCGTGTACGTCCTTTTTCTCGTCGTTCCAGAACGGTTCTCCCCTCGCACACGTGAACCCTCCACTCCACGACAATGAGAAAAGTCCCAAAAATTAAATTATACACTGTCACGTTTTACTTTTTCGCCTCGCTCGTCCACACCGACCAGTCTCAGCTCAAGGCCTCCTTGTCCACTCCTGTCGGAGACCCCACTCCTCGCCAGCGTCCCCGCTGAACCCTGGCCGGGCTTTCTTCGCCTTCCAAATGCCGTCCGCGCGTCTTCGGCCTCTTCCAGACCTCGCTCGATCTTGCCGAGGGCACCCCAGTGCAAAAAAAAAATTTTTTTTCCTCTCGTGTTCACTTGTAATGAGTTAGTGTTGTTTTTGCGACAATTGACTGTTAGCGGCTTCAAATTGGAATTTAAAATTAGTGGAAAATGTGTAATTATAGGAAAATGGTATTCGCCCATTTGACAGCTGACATTGAGAAAATGGACGCCACAAATTCTTGAAATCTCTCTTTTTTTTGTAAATATTGAAGCCTATTATTTGGTATATATTCATTTTATAGTCTCTAAACCTGCCTGACACTAATAAAAACAAAATGTGAAAGCCTAATCAAAATCGGTTAAGTAGTTTTTATTTTTATGATAAACACATGTATGAAAATTCACTTTTACTTATATAGATTATTTTTACTTTCTGGTGAGTAGTTTCTTCAGATGGCATTATAGTTAATTGAACGGTTTCAGGCGAAAAAACGAGATGCATACAAAGGGTCAGGTACTGTCTCGGTCGACAGTTGTGTTTTACGTCCGATCTACAGCTTCTTGGATTATATCCGAGGGGGTACGCAGATCTTCTGCACCGTAGCGATAGATTTCACAGGTATCGACTCAAACAATGTCATCTTTTGAATTTATTATTTATTAATTTATGAATCAAGGTTCGAACGGAAACCCGATGAGTCCTGATTCGCTCCATTATATAACAAGCGGGCAGTTGAACTGCTATGAACAGGCCATTATGTCCGTTGTGACTATAATCGAGGATTACGACTCCGATAAGCAATTCCCAGTTCTTGGCTTTGGCGCCAAGCTGCCTCCTGATGGCAGGGTCGGGCATGAATTCTTCGTCAATATGAACCCGTCAAGCCCATACTGTTCTGGTGTCCAAGGAGTCCTCGAAGCCTATCGCTCCTGTATTAGGTATTTATTTTCTATTTACTATTACTGTAAAATCCTAATTGCTTTTTTTAACAGGCAGATACAACTTTACGGGCCCACCAACTTTGCACCAGTTATAAATCATGTCGCCCAATTTGCTCAGACTTTTACAGATGGCTCTAGCTATTTCATCCTTCTGATTCTCACTGATGGCGTTATTACAGATATGCCCCAGACATGCCAGGTAATCTGTGATATAATTCAAATATTTAATTTGTGTTTTAATTCATAATGATTTTTTTAAATATATAATAAATCTTCCAGGCTATTGTTAGAGCTTCAGCCCTTCCGATGTCGATAATTATTGTCGGTATTGGAAATGCAGATTTCTCTGCCATGGAGCAGTTGGATGGCGATACCGTCGCGCTCACTAGTGGTGGTAATAAAAAAACAAAAAATAACTTTCAATAGTGTTTAATTTTTATCGTGTTACAGGCAAGAGAGCACAGAGAGATATCGTCCAATTCGTACCATTTTCCAAGTTTGTTACTCATGGCCGTCCAGGATCATCGATGCGACACCTGCTCGCAAAAGAAGTCCTGGCCGAGATTCCCACGCAGTTCACCTCTTATATGAAGTCTCGCGGGATCGTTCCGAAGCCCCCGCAATCTCACGTTTCAACGCTCCCGCCAGACCCTGAAGCGGCGTATTCCTGAATGTAGAACCGTTCAGGCTGTACGCTGAGACCGTTAACTAGTCATGGAACTTTTGGTGTTTTATGAGGGAATCCATTTACGGGCACTGCCATGGAGTATGATCTGCCTGCAAGTATGTATCTCGCATACTAAATTTTGCAATTACAATTTCTATCCGATTGTATGACTTTCTTCTAAATGTGATTTAATTATCTTGTGATTCAAATTTGATATTTAATTTGTCTCTGCACTGCTTTTCTGTACAACATTCCTTTTTTTTAAGTAATCATTCTAATTGTCAGAATTCCGTTTTAAACATAACAAATTAATTCTGTTAAGGCTCAGTATTATAAGACGGCTCAGGGTATAAACACACAAAATAATATTTTAACTGTAATGAATTACGGAATAGACAATGAAATAGGCATAGCTTAGTAGAATTCACATTACTACAATTCTTCCTAAGGGGAAAAAAAGACTGACAATTTTAGTAAATTTTTGCCAAAATATAGTTTTTTTGTACATACAGAAATACTATATAAATTATTACAAAACTGTATTAAGTGCAGTCGCTCGGCCAAATTTGTAACTTTCACACAAAGTTTAGAATCTCAATGTGAAAAAAAAAATTATCACATTCAGTACGGCAGCGTTTTACGGCTTTTGTAGTCGAGATGGGATCCGCATGACCTGCTCGGAAAAGTAGGATGCTCAGGAGCACCCCCGGCCAGTTGGCACTATTCCATTTTATGAGAATCGAATCCATTTACATTTTTACCTGTTTTCCACTTCTTTTTTTGTCCATGTTGTATTAAAAAAAAAAAAAAAAAATGGTTGTTTCTAGTACCCTGAAACAAAGTTTGTAATAGAATGTATATTAGTCGGGTAAAATATATGTACAAATTGTATGATATATTTCGTTTACCGTCCTATTTACAATTTTTTTTGTATAAAATATATAAAAAAGTGAAATATATAAAAATACAATATAAAAAAATTAAACGTATAATTTCAACAATACGATGTGCGATTCGACTTCTGAAAAATATCGAATATTAAGATTTTTATTTTTTTCTCGTTCATTTATTACTAACAGATTTGAAATACATACCAGGAAAATATTCATAATCGATGTTATTTTTTTGTCAATATATTCCAGATCGTCACTTTTTTGGTTTTAGAATTAAAAAGAATTTCCTTATTTGTAATGACTATTTTAAAGTATTTGGCTTTTTTTTTGGAGCCAGACAGCCAGGGGGTTGGCGATATTTAGTAGACATACCTAAATAGCAACAAAATATAAAGTATTTAGAATACTAATAAATATAGTCTTAAAGATTACAAAAAGCCTAACATACCTGGACAAAATTAGGAACTTCTAAAATCCTAAAAAATCCGTAATCCAAAAAAAAAAAAAAAAAAAATCAAATTTCTCAATAATAATTTAACTGTAAGAAATAAATTCTGATAAATCAATTTGAAGAAATAAATGCTCGAAAACATCAATAAAAACTTATAATTACGTCTTCAATACAGAGTTTGCAGAATTTTGGGACAAAAAGGAAAACAATAAAAAACAAGGAGTTGGGCGAAATGCACTATAGGATAGATTGGTTCAAATTGATGCAGGTAGAATGTTTCCTCACAAAGTTTACTCAAATTGTCAAAGGAAAATGAAGTGTCTAGGTTGAGAGCATTTCATTAGCCAATTGGATTTTAACTTAGGATGCGCTTGAGCGTCTTCCGTATTGAATGTGTTAAAAAAGGGGTGGTCTTTTCTTTTAATTTTTATGCAAAAAAGGGTTGAGGTGAAAAATTAGTTTCTCAACCTTCTTTACAAAAATTTAAATAAAACTGTTTAAGATAACTAATTAAAAATAATCTTTTCTTGTAGCACGTTGACTGTGTTTATTTTACATCTACTCTGTGAAAATTGATACATGCCTAAGACAGTCTCATTGTGTTGCAAGCTGTCACAACTATTTTAACATAGAAAACATGTAAAATTTGTAACATTAGTTAATAATGATCCGCAGCTATATAACAAAAGAAATGGATTCTACCTGGGTATCGTCAATATTTCAGTGCATACTGTTTTTACAAAATAACATTGCAAAATAATAATTTCATTTTATAATAAGCTGTTTTATTTTTGTATGATCGACATGCAGGATGTGTAAGGATTTTTGGGTGGCATGTGCATACCAGCACTTTGTGGGCCGTGATTCACCTCACTCTAAGGGGTGTTGTGTAGGCAGACTCAAAGGGATGTAATTGTGTATAGAAGGGAGGTGGGTAGTTAGCCGAAATAGCACAACACCTTTTTGGCTTTTGATTATGAGTCAAGATTATCATGGAACAGAGTGTGGTACATTTCTACCCCGAGCCTAACCTAAGCACTTATGTTGAGGGGCGCCCCGTTGAAAGTAAGTTGTTCCCCTGTAGAGCAAGCCCTTTCATCCAATCGATGATGTCTTGAGGAAACTCCTGCTTTGTAGTGCTGTATTGGCAAAGAGTGCAAAGTTGAGTAGAGACTTGTCCTGACTGTACTGTCCATGGCCGTGAGGGATGTATCGTCTAATTTGTGGAGTATATTGAGTGGGGTAGATGTTGATGGGCTATAATACTATTAGTGTCTACCACGGGGTAGATTTAAGCATGGTAGTGAGGCATATGTGGTGATTAGTGACCGTTAATCGACAATTATGTAGAAATCGTGAGATGCGGTCTGGGGTGATGTAGGTTTCAGAAAAACATTTTCTTTAAATTTCTTTTATATTTCTTTCGTACCTTTTTAACAATTCTATATGCAGGTTGAATAATCTGACCTGCATTTAAATAAACAATAATATTTATTGGATTTCTCAGAGNGGAAAAGTGAATTTATACAATGCAAAATACATTTTTTATATTCAATCAAAGTATTTCTACTCACTCAAAGTGTTTGTCTTCTGTGTAATTGTGCCATTCTTGCGTGTCGTGTTGAGAGGGCCAGTGAGATAGTGCTGTTTTATGTTTACTTACGTTGGATTTTGATGGAGTGGGGAAGGATGTCGGTATAGAAAAGACATTTTTGTATAAGGCGTCCGCTTCTTTGAGGTGAAAAGAGCCGACGAAGGGAAAAAATGTGTTGGTAATGGTTACCTACATCATCACATTACATTCCACACATCAAATATTTTTTACATAGTCTAATTTCCCAACAATTTAGCCTTCCTTTTCCTATTTATCCCTTTCTATATACTCCTGAAAGGATAATCTGGCCGAACCATTACCAACACATTTTTTCCCTTCGTCGGCTCTTTTCACCTCAAAGAAGCTGACACCTTATACAAAAATGTCTTTTCTATACCGACTTCCTTCCCCAACCCTTCAAAATCCAACGTATATAAACATAAAACATGTATATGAAATATCTCACAGGCACTCTCAACACGACACAAGAAGGCACAATTACACAGAAGACAAACACTTTGAGTGAGTAGAAATACTTTGAATATATAAAAAATATATTTTGCATTGTAGAAAATTAACTTTTCCACATCCAAAACGTATTTGTTAAATGTAAACAATGTTTGTAAATCCCAGGCCCTGACGATGATCTCAATAAAGATCGAAACGTTGGCATGATAAAGAAAACGTTTTTCTGAAACCTACATCACACCAGATTTCATCTCACGATTTCTAAATAAAGTAGTGAAGCATGCTGGGCCAATATTGCTCTGTTGTTTCCTCACCTCTCCTGACTTGACAAATGCCACCACAGTTCAACAGTGTACTTGAAGCTCTTGTACACAACAGTCCTACTTGACCCTGTGTCGATGGTGAGGCAGAGCTTACAACTTATTGCGATGGCGGGAAGGGCTTGAGGGCACTGGTGGGACTGGCGGAGCCAAAAGTCTATGTGGATCGCTGACCAGTTAATGCATAATGTGGAAGGAACTGGCTTGCAGCAAGGTGTATCGCACTCCAGATGTGCATAGGGCATAGATTAGTGTTAAATCATTAGAAGAGTAATCCGTACCATCTGGAAGCAAATGTTAGTCAGTGAGCAACGATATTAGGATGGCTGGGTTCAGATTCTGCTGGCAAAAATGATGAATGTGGCTTCCTCCCGCCAGTGGTTGTTCACCAATGTGCATAAATAGAATATTTTAGCATACAAACATTCTCATAGCACCTTTGGCTCAGGCGATCGTGCTGGTCAGGTAACTTCGGATTCAGTACAGATTGCATGTTCTGACCCCTGCATATAACTTAATTCGCATGGTGAAGAAGTCCAGCACTACCCGTCTCTCAATCCCTTAAAAAAAAAGACCTCAATCTATCAAATTATTAAAATTTCATTGGAGCCCGTGTACAGTTGACTCTCGGCTAACGTGCAAACCAATGGGCCATGTCACATTGATGTTATAGACTAGAACGACCGAGTTTTTCAAATTTTATAACATTTTGGTACATTTTATTCAGGTTTGAGATTCGGGCAATTTTAGAAGTAAAAACGGGGTTAACTGAGCTTAACGAACAAGTTAATTTGTAATACAATGCCTTTTAACTGTTGTCTTCTTCGGCTGTGCCTTCATCATTTCACTCTCAGCAGCCTTTTTTTTCAAGTGCTGTCTTTAACTTTTAAAAAAATTAGCGCTCTCTTCTTACTCAAATTTTTTATATTATAATAGTACAAATTGATATTTTATTAAACTATTTAACAATTTAAGAAATACTCAATACTTTCGACTTGTGACCTGTGAGTGTTACCTTTATATTTATTGTACTATATGCTATTAACAAATGTTTTACAAAATTTATAATGGTTGAAAAACCCTACTATAAATTATTGAAATATTTTATTGTTCACATTAAAAATGTAGATATTTGTGTTTACAAAATAGATATTTTTGTTTTGGGGCCATATTCTGGTAGTTACCATTATTAGCTCGCTAAGATAAAAAAAACTTATTATGGAATCTGCGATGAGTTGCTTTAATTTGCAAATTGTGCAGGTATTATAAAATTATACCTATTGTCTTGTCTATATTTTTTTGTTATTTTTATACGTTATTATACATATATTTGTATTTATATTGAAAATATATTTGCATTTTATTGGAATTTTGTTTAATTTAATTCCTAATTATCAGTTTGGCTTCAACTATGTAAAAAACCCCCAAAAAACCCACCATTTTTTATTTTTAACCTCTTGTCTGCCAAGCGGTCTCAGTTTTAGTTTTATATCGTTTATGTTCTCAGTAATTTTCAGAACTTTTTTGTTTTGTTGTACATGTGAGAAAAATAATACCGAAATCAATACCACTTAAACATTTAATTTTATACACCAAATTCTAATTTATTTTTGGAAGCCATTAGTGTAGTTTATAGGCTTCTAAACCAATGCGAAGTTTCCTATGTATTGGCAAACTTGTTTCAAAGTTATCGATAAGGAAGAATAACTTAAACGCATCAAATCAATCATAATTAACTGTAATTCTTAAAAAATCAAAACTCCATATACACAAACACGAACATCACTTTTATGACAAACCAGCTTGAAGTGCAGAATTTTTATTTGTATTGCATCTTCTCATACAAAGTCCACCAGAAAATGAATTTGGTAAATGAGAAAATCTATGAAATTTGATTAGAGCACATGCTTAAGCCTGGTCTCTAGCTGTGGACGTAGACCTAAGCCTAAGTCTCTCTCCCAACTTTGCCGACTTTGGACTTGCTCTCTATGCTTCATAGAGATAAGATGGTTTTTCCTTCTACTTATTATTTGTCTTTAATCTTACAATCCCTAATTAAAGTAGTAGTAGTGCTTGGTGGCCATCTTGACACAAGAACAATACAGGTAAAATGTTGAGACCAATTCCAAACCCTTTTTATAACTGGTATTTGACAGGATTCTCGACCAAATGTTTAATTTGTTTACCCACCCATGATTTTATCAGTCATATAGGAAAAAAAAAAATCGTTTGTGCCAGAATTGAACGGCAATTTGATTAGAAGATGAAACCCACCGATTGTAAGTTTATTTAAAAAAAAGTTAACTTGAAATATATATTATAAAATAATTTTTAAAGAGTTTTAGTCATCTCAAATCACAGAGGATTTGTGTCACAAAATATCTCACAATTTATACTTTTTTTTGTGTATGAAATTTAGTTGAAAATGAACTAGAAGAGGAAAAGGACCACTGAAGATGATGAAATGTTGAAATGCAGACTTTATCTTAAACCATATTGAATACTTTGTCTCCCATTGGGACTCCAAATATTTAATTTCATCCTTTGTAGTTTGAAAAAAGTGTAAGTTCAAATTAGTTTGTCAAGTGATTTCGGCCTCTTTTTATTACATTCTTGATTCATAAAATCTTTATTTATGTATATATTTGTTTTGTTTTTGAAGATTACTTCTTTTAACAAAAACAACATTTTTAAGAAGTAAATTAACATTTTTATGTAAGGTTTTGGTTGATATGAAAAAGTTAGTGTCACGAGCGGGATTCGAACCCACGACCTTTGGTTCAATACGCCGCTGCTCTATCACTTGAGCTATTGTGACTTCGAACCACTTGGACACCAAATTCTCATCTCAACCTACAACCTTTTGAATTTTCCCTCCTTTTGTCATTTTTAAAATGTCATGTAATCAGGATTCGATTCTCGGCGACATATGGCGTCGTTTGTTCGAATCCCACTCGTGCAACTAATTTTTTCATTTGAACCAAAACCTTACATAAAAATGTTGATTAATTGAAAGAAGTAATTTGGCCAATCAGATCACTAAATATAACGTGTAATGTTTAGCGACCGTTAATTAATGATTATTTGGAGATTGTGAGATGCAGTCTGGTGTGACGTAGGTTTAGAAAAACATTTTCTATATCTTGCCAACATTTCAATCTTTATTGAGATCATCATGTGTCATTATTGTATGTCGTTAATGACACATCTACACAGAAAACAAACACTTTGAGTGAGTACAAATACTTTGATTGTGTCTACAATTTCTAGCATTGTATAAATTCATTTTTTCCACATCCTACTTGTATTTGTAAAATTTAAACAATTTTTATAAATCCCAGGCCCTGAAGATGATCTCAATAAAGATTGAAACGTTGGCATGATAAAGAAAATTTTTCTAATCTACATCACACCAGATCGCACCTCTAGATCTCCAAATAATCATTACATATAATGGATTTTTAAGAAGTTCAAAACAAAATTACACACTTATATATTTATTTTTTACCTTTTTAACGAGGTATTTTAACTATGAGGTTATATGAACCGTTAGGGTGTCTGTGTTTTAAAAAAAAAGAAATTTTTTTTTATAAGTTTGTCAGGTTCCAATGCAGAGCCAGTGGATTCGAACGTGGGCTCTTTACCTTGATGAGCACCATATCAATACCTAATCTGTTGTCCACTGCCACCCCCTATTATAATTTTTATTATGTAACCTGGATTTTTATTTAACAAGACTTAGTATTTTTTAAATTTATACTTTTTTTTTAAACTTTATAAATTTGCTTTATTTTTTACATCATTTTTTTTTTGGACACTCATGTGTAAGAAATAAAGCAGAAAATTGATTAAAAAAAACCGCATGGAAAAGTTTAAAAAAAAAATTGTTCTACATTCTTATTATATTCACTAATTTCGTGGTCCGCTTGACCAATTA